TCGGAAAGTAAAAAAAAAAACCAATGATAACCATATTTGATTTTTAAAATCTCAATGATAATAAAAAGGAGAGGCGGCGGGAGGGTCATACAGGAGTACAATGGCAGAGCCGACGATGGTTGGTTAGACTTCTAGAAAGTAAAAAAAATGAATTCCAACGATAGTTATGTTCGATTTTTAGAATCCCAATGATAATAAAGAGTAGGCGGCGGACGGGTCGTAGAGGAGTATAGTGGCAGCGTTTGACGAGATTTCTAAAGATTATAAAAAATAAAATCCAACGAGACAATAAATTATAAAAACTATAAGGTCCAAATTTAAAAGGTTCGGGCTTATGAAAAGTAAAAAAAACCAATGATAAAATCTCAATGAGAGTAAAGAAGGGAGGCAGCGGGCGAGCCGTATTGGAGTACAGTGATAAAGTCGCTGACGTTTTGGTGGAACTTCCAGAAAGTAAAAAAAATGAACCTAAACGATAATTATGTTCGATTTTTAAAATACCAATGACAATTAAGAGAAGAGGTAGTGGACGGGCCGTAGAGGAGTATAATGGCAGCGTTTGATGGGACTTTTATAAATTATAAAAACAAAACCCGGCGGGACAATAAACTCTAAAAATTATATGATCTAATTTTTAAATGTTCCAAGAAGAACGAATAGAAACAGTGCTAGATCGAGAAAGCAAATAAAAAAAAGATATGACATAATTAAGGGGTATCAACTGGCGTGTGACTTTTATAAAAACTATAAAATTAAAAACACAGTGATGATAATGTTTGGTCCAACGAGATAATTATTTAATAAATTTTAAGTAAAATTATATTAAAAATATATAATTTTGTATGGGTGTTAGCCGCGTAATTGCGCGGGTCACCCAGCTAGTTAATATTGTAGTAAGTAATTATTATATGTATTAGCTTTTATATTAATTATAGATGATTTGAAGCTATTAGTTGGCTGTAATGTTAAACTTGCTCTGATGGCTCGCTCGGTCGCTACGCGCGACAGTATACTAAACAAGCAAATCGTATCTACGCGACGGGATACGTCGATCCACTGGGGCATCATCCGTCATGTGTTGTGTGGCTTTTGACGGGGTGATGGGCCGGGCTAGATAGAGATGGGGCTTGGGCTGGCCTGGTTCGAGTGAACCGGCCGGGGAATCGCGTGTCACCTCGAGATATTTTAAGGGGCAGCGCGTTACTCCTATCCTTTTCTACTGCTAGTTGCTGTCACATAAACGAGCAAATCTTGGGGATATGGTATTGGTATCCACTGGATGTGTGATCAACAGCCTTCTGCTTTTGTTGTTCGAGCGTTTCGAGTGTTTGCTTGGATTAGCAGATCTGCTTAGTAAGGTAAGGCGTCATTTGCCGATACGAATTAGGCATTGTTATATGATGTACTTCCGGTTTTGGTTGATGCGTTTTTGCTTTGAGCGTCATTGAACCGAGCAAATCCTGATAGTAGCTGTCACCTCCAAATTAGTACGCCATCATGGTGTGTGATACACCTCCACCTTTGGGTAGTGCGCTTTATGGAGAGCAGTAATGCGTTCCGTTTTAAGCATGGGCAAACGGAGCAAAACATTGTATCCTCATAGGTAGAGGTTGTTACTAAATCTAACCGCTTTAAGCGGTTAAATGAACGGTATTGAGACCAGACAGGTTGGTGCATGGTAATATCATTGGTGGAGAAACCATCTTTCCTCCCGGTTCGTAACCCCCATTTAATTCCAGTTATTTAACCGGGGCTACAAATCCGGGACTAAAGATCGCTATCTTTAGTCCCGGGTGAAATAACCGGGACTAAAGATCGATCTTTAGTTCCGGTTGTTAACACCAACCGGGACTAAAGATAGGGGATTAAAGAGGAGATAACAGCAGTCTAGATGCCCCATCCTTTTTTTTTTCTTTTTTATTTTCTCCCGAATCAAGTGAGATGCGTATCCCAAATTAAACCCCAAATACCAAATCAAGGTAATATCCCAAATCTACATCACAAATCTTTAAAGTTACTTATACACACAAATCAAATACATCATAAATCCTAAAATAAAATTGCACACAAATCAAATTACATCACAAGTTCTACAAAATTCATCGCAAATACATCACACACAAATCAATACATCACAGGATCATGCAATAAATCACAAATTCTAAAAAAAAAAATTCACAAAGACGCCGGCCGGCCGCTGCCGCCTCCTCTCCACGCCGGCCGGCCACCGCTGCGCCGCCGCGCCGACCCGCTCTCGCTCTCGCTCGATCTGGATAGAGATAAGGCAGCGCTCTCGCTCGATCTATCAAAAAGAAAGAGATAAGGCAGGAAAGAGGAAGAGAGTTAGAGAGGAAAAAAAGAGATAGAGAGAGTTTGTTGTGTGGACGATATAAGAGGATAAGTAATAGGGATTATATAGTACGTGTTAGATTTTTATTCCTGGTTGGTAACACCAACCGGGAATAAAGATTATCTAGTCCTGTTGTTCTTATAAATTGGGACTAAAAATCGTTTTTACTCCCGATTTTTAATGGAACCGGGACTACTGTGGATTTGGGTCGACCGAGCAAAGATGGTTTCTCCACCAGTGTATGTTAGTACTACCTTCTTTTTTTTTTGGCATATATGCTCCAATGTAATCTGCCGGTTCATCAAATTGCATTTGCCTCTGACTGTCCAACTTTATCCTTGTTCTTGTTGTCTCGTCTAGGTGCGCCCTGCGACAATGTTCGTGATTGTACGTGTGCCATTCGTCGTTGAGCCATAGCGCAATGTATCGCAACTCGCAAGTTGCAACGTATTTGGCCCGCGTAGGAGTGCTTGTACCCATGATTCCCAAATCCATTTCACATTTTTCTCTATGAGAGAGAGAAAAAGGATAAGCTTCGAGCCAATTGGACGAGCCATTGCACACGAACGCCCTGAGCAGGAACAAGATCCACTGCTGTAGCCGGTTTTGCTGGCACTGTGCTGCAAACAGCCAAACACTGAAACACTGAGGTTTTGCTGGCAGTGGCATACTGGCATCCCGTCTCAAACCCTCCCATGTGCTACCAGCGGTTCCTGCAGCTTTTCCAAAGATTTCAACCGAGGAAACTGATGTAGATGAATTAAATTCATGCATGTAAAACGAGAAATTAATTAATATTTAATTAATATAAACTTGATAGATGAATATTTGATATTTTAAAGTAATTTTTATATAAAAAGTTTTCACATGTAATACACTGTTTAGTAATTTAAAAATCGTGTTAATGAAAACATACGTAAAATCGGTATGTTAATCAGAAAGCGTCATCAAAAGCTCAACACCACCACCAGCGGTAAAATCGGTATGTTAATCAGAAAGCGTCATCAAAAGCTCAACACCACCACCAGCGGAAACTATCGAGTGAGCTGGATTTTTTACAATTTAGTCCTTTTGAAAAAATTATTTTGTAAATAGACACTTGGAAAAACTTATCTAAAAAATGGTCCATTTTGGGGCCCCAAAGTCGCTATCGCCGTCCTCCTGCCACTGTGGTGGGTCGGCGCTGAGGTGGCAGGGGGAGCGCGCCAATGTGGCTGGCGTCCCCCGCATAGTGTAGAGGAGAGAGAGATGTGCAACTATTATTTTTATTTTTCTTTCACGTTTAGAAGCATACAAGAACCAACCATAGAAAAAATAAACTCAAATGTACGAAATATGTGACTTATAAAATTTTCCAAAGCTCTACCGAAAAGTTTCTCGCCTCGAAAACATAATCTTGCAAGTAGAATTTGGAGATTCTAATTTTGCTGAACCCAGCAAAGCGGGGGAGAATTGAATATAACCTTTTCTATAAATGTCCGTGGATATATTATCTGCCTGATTCCGAGTCCGTATGAGAAAGTTACGCTTGTTGTAAGCCGAATGTAACAAAAAAAAAATACAAACCCTAAATGTAAAAGATGTAAAAAAAAGTTAAGAGTGTTTAAAATCTAATCTACTTTTTTGGGACTATAGGAAAAACCAAAACAACGAAGAGTAGGGATAGAGCACCCGTGGGGCTTTTCGGTAAAGCTTCTAAAAAATTCTAGAAGTCACATATTTCATCAATTTGAGTTTAATTTTTCTATGGTTGGTTCTTCTGTGCTCGTAAGTAAAAAAAAGTATTAGCGCGCTCCCCCTGCCACCTCAACGCCACCCTGCCACGGTGGCAGGAGGACGGCGCCAGAGAGGCTGGCACTGTCCTGTTGGACGACTGCGCCATCGATTCTAGCGTCCGAAAAAGAATTATTTCTGGGATAAGTTTTTTTTGGATCTATTTACGAAATAAGCTATTTAAAAGAACCAAATAGTGAAAAATCCAGATTGAAAAATCCGCACGATCTCTTTTGAGGGCCCATGTTTTCTTGGTCGCGAAGTGGGCTGGGCAAGGATGAGACGAGTGAGGCTGCCTGTGATGGTGGCTCCAGGCTCCAGCCAACTCTGCTGCTATTTCCCCAACTCCCAAATGCCACTTTCACATCTGTCCAGCTGCTGCCCCTGCAGCACTGAGGCAGCGACGCCACACCGTATGACCGCATGTTACCGTGGCAGCGGCGTGCGTCGCTGCCAACTCCCAAGTCCTCCGGCTCCCCGTCCGGTTTCGATGCCGGAAGAGTCAGCGGCAGCAGCATATCCTACCACTCCTTGGCTGAGAGAGAAAGAGAGCGTCGTCTGCCGAGCCGGCAACCTGGTCACGAGTACGAGTGTACAGTACGACCGTACGAGGCAGGTCGGTGTCTCCGGGCTCCGGCAATGACCGGCAAGGCCTGCGTGCCTCGATTGCCTGCGTGACTGACAACCTGACGAACTCGACATGCTTGTTGACAGGGCAGCACGTCGCCTGCGACGCCGACGCCGACGCCGACGCCGACCACGACGCTGAAGCTGACATGGAGCAGAACAAAGGCATGCAGATGTGACATGCACGAGCGAAGAGGACGAAGAAGCTATCAGCTCATCTGTTCCGCTGCTGCTGGGTGTTCTCGCGGAAGATCGAAACCACGGAAATTTTAATCAACAATGGAAGAAGAACAGAACTGATGATGTTTCAGCTAGTAATCGGTGTTCCCGACAGAAACTACAAGCTCTTTTTTCAGTGCCCCTGAAAAAACTAGTACTACTCAGCCTACAAGAACTACTCCCCACTCACCAATCTCTCTCTCTCTCGCTCTCTCTCACCTCCCCTCTAATACTTAGCAGCTAGCTTAGCCTTAATAATGTACCGCAGACTTGTCGATATCCGTCCAGCGCTCACTTGCAATTTGTAAGGAATGAAGCCATGTGCATTCCTGAAAGAGCAAACGGAAAAGTCAAACAAATCCCATGACAAGAATGACCTGAACAACCTGATCAGGCAATAGGATGTGTTTAGGTTTTATATAGAAAGAATCAATCAAACTTCTTACTATTGTTAAGTTTCAAATGCCAGTGAGGCTGACCTGATCATCAATCTCTTTATTTTTCATATTCGCGGGACTCCACCAGCACATAAACTGGTTTGCCATTGAGCTTGTAGAAATCCTGTCAGAAAGTTGTCATCTCAGTTAGACGATTTCAACAGATAGCCATGGCATGATGGCACCACTTCTCTATTGCAAAAAACTTGTTATTTAAAAACATCAAAAGACAATCGAAAGATTCGTTACATCAACTGCAACTACAACATTTACAAATGACCATGCAATTTGAAAAGCAATGTGTATTGATTGTCGCTGATTTTTAAAAAATCTTCTTCAGTTCTGAACCAGCATGATATCTATCCTGACTTCGGTAAGATGCCGGCAGTGTAGCACTCATTTTGCAAGTTGTAACATGAATCAAGGTATGTCAACTCAAACAAAATAATCACTATGACCAGATGAAACTAGTGTAGACAGTGCTGTGGTTTTACTCCTACCTGAATATTTTTCATCCCTAGCAAACTTTCAGATGAGGGGCAGGATGCAAATAGTAAGCTTCAAATGCAGCAGAAGAGCCACAGTTGAATATGTTCTTAGGATAGCACAAACAGGGCTTCTTTTATTTATTTATTTTTTTTTAAAAAAGGACTATAGTCCTGCTTTGGAAGAAAAAACAATTACCCACCAATTCTCGAGTGGTCTTGTTCAAATCTATGGATGCCCAGCTGGTACTGATATGAGTATCTCAATGTGGGGAGCAGAATAGACATGGTGCTATTTAGTATGGCAAAGTTGTTCCTGGCCGCTATCTAAACCCAAACCATTGGCTCAAGAGTCCAATCTATATGGCACTAACAGGCTACGTCAGGTAGAGTAGAAAGCATCTGAGAAAGTTAATACTGTACTACAGGTGCAAAACTGTTGGATGGAACTGCGTTCATATCTTTGGAATGTGGATCCATGCTCCAGAGCAGTATGTAAAATACTACATAAAGTGACAACTAAGTAGAGAGATGTCGGAAATGTTTGTCAAAGAATATATGGATAACCGTGAATAATGTGACAATAAGAATACCTTAAATTTTGGGAGCCCAATGAGACACGCGCACTCAACAACGTCAGCTCCAGCGCGTTCTGGAAAGCAAATTTCTAGGTAAGATAGTCGTGCCAAAATCCAGTTATTCGTTCTTGGGACAAAGATATTATAATTCATCCAGTGAAGTGCCCGAACAGTCTAAAGCTAAAAAAAAGAACAACTTTTTCTTTAATAGTTGAAGCACAGGTTGGTTAGATACAAAAAAGAAAGGAAGCATGTCAAATGCAATTGCTGATGGCCTAAAACATGAAAAAAACACGATATATACAGTTGAAAAGACCCTACAAAATTTTAGTAGTGCCAACTGCCAAGGCTAGGCCAGCAAGAGTGAAAATTTGACACTACCAAACTTTTAGTATGGTATCATTGTGCTTTGTTTGTTAGTAACAAAGAGAAAATTGCCGCTACCAATTTTTGTGATGTAGCCTGTGTTGTGTTTTGACAAATCATACTGGCCTGGAGTAATTCGGTGGGGTTATCTCTCTGAAAAAGAAAATGAGGTGGGGTTACTGGATTCACTACGACAGGAGTACTCGAAACATGTAGTGTCAAAATCAAATCATGTCCTCAAGCAAACTCCATAGGACATATCTTCAGCCAAGATTCTCTCCAAACAAAAATCTTCAAACAAGGATTGTCTTGATTATAGAGTCACATCGCATTAAGGACAACAGTATGCCTATAAGCAACGAAGATATCATGGTCCTCCACCGGTCACCACTAGCAGGTACGGATGCCTGTCGTTGGTTATTACTTTTCATGACTACTCGATTTATTTCAGACACTATTCCTGCAGTACTATAGATTTGGATTAATAGTGTGAAGAAACTATGTTCGGAGTGTGGGCACAGTTTCAAGACACGGTACTGGATAATTTGATATTGTGGCAAACTGCCAAGCACTAGTGCTTGCTGCAAACATGTCACGGGATCACAAGGCACAATCGAGAGCTTCACTGTTACAGGCCAGAAGAATAGCGTGTTGTGAATGTGCGAACGGGGAAAAGACCTCTGCATTTCACAGAAGCCACATAGAAAAATAAATAGTCATTGCAAGATTGTTGTCAGCATTTTTGCCAAGCTCTATTGAGATACTACTAGTTGCATATAGTATCACAATGGATCAAGGGTTTCATTTAAAATGCATTTCAGATTAAGAAGTAGTGCGTACCAAGAAGCCTTATAGCAGCACAAAGTGTCCCACCAGTTGCAACCAGATCATCAACGATCAGCACACGCTCACCAGGTTCAATGGCGCCAACATGCATCTGCAAGCAATCGGTCCCGTACTCGAGAACATACGTCTCAGAAATCACCTCGCCTTTCACGTTTGTAGAAAAAAATTAAAAGCAGATGTCAGGGATGGCGGTTACTGCAAAAAATGATTTGATAAGCAAGGCAAACACAATCATACTTTACAAGAAAGGTGGTGCACAACACAACAGCGTATGTAAAAAACAACAACAGTATGTGTTTATCCGATACTCTAATAGAAAATGTGTAAAAGAGACCCTCGACAGTATGTGTCTATCTGATACTCTAATAGAACATGTGATGGAAAGTGCAAAGACAGAAAGTACATCATATCTCTTCAGATTACATCATGGGCAGCATAAAAAGGGATGGACTAGTGACACAGCTTTGTTGTCAGAGTAATGGAACAGAGCAGCTCTTTTATAAACAGGTAAGGTAACTAAGCATACTTAACTAGGCTGCCAGCGCGAGCTAATCATATCTTATATCACCAGCAAACAGATTTGCACAACACTTTTTCAGAGAGAGAGCGAGCCTCACTCACCTGGGAGTTTCTTGGGCTTACGCAACGGTATGAATTTGGCGCCAATTGCCAGCGCGATCGCCGGGCCAAATATGAACCCCCTAGCCTCAATCCCTGGTCAAACAAACCAAAGTCACAACCAGGAATGAAACATTAACTAGCAACCTGCCAAGCTGATAGTAGTATTAAAAGTCAAGAACAAGGAATGAGATATATGTTAAAATAATAAGCGAAAACAGGGGGGGAGGAGGAGAAACAGAAGGAAAACAAACCAGGAACAAGGAATCGCAGGGAGCCAGACAGAGTATCCAACAAACAACAAAGCAAAATCTCAGAAGCAGTACTTTCCAGTGAAAACGACAGCAGATCGGGCACATGCATGACATCAGTGAGCCACCCCCCTCCAGTGGGGTAAAAATAAAATAAAAAAAATCAATTTTAGGCCTACCACGAATCCCCCACCCTCCCCACCGTCCGATCACACGCAGGCGATGCTGGGGCCGTCCGATGGTCCGGGCCTTGGGTTCCCCCCACCTCTCGCCTCCTCGCCGCGAGATCTGCCCGTGCCAGGGCTTCTACATGCGCCCCCGATACGCTATTGAATGCGGCAGATTCCGGCCGCTGCTGTGCTGCACACGGGTCGGTGGTGGCAGCAGCAGCAGCGGCAGGCTCGGCGAGAAGCCTGGAAAAACGCGACGCGTCATGGGCGGGGGCCAAGGCGCAGGCGCGCAGTGCAGCGCACGGGGCCAGAATGACATTCTGGCCCGGCTCGGCTCGGCGCAGCGCACGGCTGCCTCCGCGATGCGTACGTAGCGTAGACAAACACCCACCACCCCCGTTGATAAGCTCGTAGGGTGTGGCCCTGGATTTGATGGCCCGAGAGACGGACGAACCGGCAAATTTCCGCGGCAGAATCGTAGCGAATCTGGCGCTGGCAGAACGGGGGCGTGACCAGCGGAGAGTTAGTACTGTATTAAACGCCCCCCCCCCCACCCCTGTAGGGCCAGGAGGTCTTTTATCAGTCCACGATCGTGACGATCACAGTCCCGTTCATAGTACTGTATCCACCCAAGATACGAGCCATCTGCGTTCGAGAGGACCGGCACGCAAAACGAAGCATATATTGTTACATGATCAATTAAGTATTAGCTAAAATTTTTTAAATAAATTAATTTGATTTTTTTAAACAATTTTCATATAGAAACTAACTTTTTATAAAAAAATATAAGCGTGCGTACGGAAAAACGAGATAGAGGTTGAGAACTTCAAGGAAATAACACAGCCGGTACCTGCCGGCTCCGGCCGGCCAGAGCACTGTGCCGTGAGGCCGTGTGTGTCCTGTCGCTGTGAGAGGATCACCGAAGTGGTTATGATAATACTAGCGTCTACTACTAGTATTATTCTCCCGAGGAAAGCAACGGCGCCGGGGGTGGTAGTTACGCGGAAAAGTGCAGCGGGAGGCGATGTGCGTGCGGGCGACGACAAGGCATGGGGGAGCAAAAGGACCAGGAGAGGACCAGGGGAGATCTCGCGCAAAGATATTACGGAATCTCAGAACACCGCCTCTCCGCCCCTGACTGCCCACCTCTCCGGCTCCGCGCGACAGAAACAATAATCAAATGACAATAAAGAGTAGTACTGATCAAAAAGTGTTTACCGGCGACGGCGGCGATGGCCATGCCGCGGTAGCGCTCGACGAAGATGTCGACGGCGTCCTTGAACACCCCCGGGCGCAGCAGCAGCGGCGTGATGTCGTTGAACATGATGCCTGCATGCACGCCGCGCGCGCAGATATTCAGATACCACTAGGTATTTGCACATATGGCAAACTGGCGAACCGAGAGGGGAGAGACGGACCTTGCTTGGGGAAGTGGGGGACGACGCGGATGGCGTCGGAGATGCCCTGAAGCCGGGGGTCGACGGCCACGGCCGCAGGCGGCGGCGTCGGCTTTGGCACCGCCGCGGCGTCGGTGACGGCGATCTCAGCCCAGGCGGCGGCGGCCTTGGCCTCCGCCGCGGCGCCACCGGTGGTGTGGCCGTTCTCCTTGGGCGCAGCGGACTCCATCGCGACGTTGCAATTGGCCTCCTCGCCCATTTCTCTCTGTCACCAGCTATACCCTCCCTCTGCAATGGAGTGTCAAGCTGAACAAAGGAGTTAATGTTACGGGGGGTGGACGGGTGTGGCCTGTGGGGTGAGGAGGTATATATATAGCAGGAAAGAAAAGGAGGCCGGGGTCGTCGTGCGTTTATTATCCTTGGAAACCAGCAGCCCGCGGCCTATACGAGCGAGTACAATACTACCCTACAAGTCAGCTCTAAACACATACGGATAAGAAGAGAGAAGAGGAGATAGAGGTTACAGATTTATAGCCAACTATAGCATAGACTTCTATAGGAAACTATAGCATAGACTTCTAAGATATGTGAATAAATATTAATGGTGTAGTATATGATGATAGGAACTATTGTATGAATAAGCTATTGGATTGGTTATATATGAATTGGAGCTAGTAGCTGGCTATACTATTAAGGGGTGGTTTAGATCCAAGGGTGTAAAGTTTTGGCGTATCACATTGGATATTATATAGGGTGTCACGTGAGTTGTTCGAGCACTAATAAAAAAAACTAATTACAGAATTTATCAGTAAACTGCAAGACGAATTTATTAAGCCTAATTAATCAGTCATTAGCAAATATTTACTGTAGCACCACATTGTCAAATTATGAAGCAATTTGGCTTAAAAGATTTCTCTCGCAAATTAGTCGCAATATGTACAATTAGTTATTTTTTAGACTATATTTAATATTTCATGCATGTGATCAAACGTTCGATGTGATATGGTGCAGGGGTGGAGGTAGACCTAGGGCAGCTAGGGCTTAGACCCTAGGCCTGCCTTCAAAATCATGGCTAAATTATGTTAAATCACCATGTAAATTTAGAAAAAGATAAATAACTCACTACTTAAGCCCTACTCTTTAGTAATTTATGGCTCCGCTACTGATATGGTGTAAAACTTTTGGCGGGATCTAAACAGGTCCTAAACTTGCTGTACTCACAGCTCTCTGTTTATAAAGAGACCCTCACCGCCTATATCTCTCATCACTAGCTATTGTGTGTGTGTGTCCACTCTTCTCCGACTGTGCCTAAACGTGACATTGTGACAATGTGCCATGCGTGGGTGCGCCCATCTGCTCTCCATAGCCAGCAGGCACCTACGATCAGACCAGCCCCCCTCTCGTTCTCCTCTCTGTCGTTAGCTTTTGTTCCTGCTGATGAGCAGTGACCGGCCGTTTCAGCGACTGATCAAAGGAAAGAAAACGGCCCGGGGGGGAGTTACTGCTCCACTTGGCGCGTTCCCTCTTTCATGGAATATTCATTTCATAAAGTTTATTGCAAATAGATCCCTCGGAAAATTAACTACACCCTAAAAAACGATTACTCTACCGTATATGAATTTGGAGAGCCATATGTCCAGGTTCATAAGTATAAATTCATTCCTTTTTAAGATGGAGGGAGTAATCACAGAAATAGATCTATATGTGTTTATACGTAGAATTTCATTCCTTTTTAAGATGGAGGGAGTAATCACAGAAATAGACCTTAAGCCCAGTAACATCCTTATCCTGTGAGGTGATGATTTGTTTCAAAGTAGTGACATTGGCACTAATCTCTTATTCAAGGTGGTAGCAACCTTAACATAATTCCCATGTGAAAGTTTGTTAGAAAAAGAAATAAAAAGAGGTGAATGGTTCGGAGTTTGAACCATGATCTATTGGATGAGAGAGTCGCCCTGTTTTATTATTAGTTAAAGCATGCATATCTTTTTATCTGAACCATAGTCCATAGAGGTCAATGCTAATAATAATATTGATATTATGTTATTGAGCTTCCATACCTAACAAGTCTGTACCACCTCGAACAAGTGTTGAGGCTCAATGCTTTCGATTCAAAGATGATGTTGAGCCCATGATCTCCTTCTGCGCTATTAGTTTTTTTTTCTATTAATAAGTTTAATAAAAGGATTAAAATGTAAAAATTGCAGGCACGCCTCGCAGTGCCTGAAGCAAGCCTCGACCAGGCCGGACCGCGGGTCGCAGCGGCTACACCAGCTAGGCGGATTGGGATCTTGTGCAGTTTGAATAAGGACTACAGGTTTAGCAGTCTCATGCTCTCAATACTGTCAAGATTTATGGAGCAGTACTGTTCTCAACATTTGCTACAAGATCATCTTGCTACAGTAATATATATGATGAACATTACTCTTGTGTAATCTGAATCCTTGTTATTCGATCCAAAGTTAGATGAATAACTGCTAAAGTTGTAGTCATACTAGCAACTGCAGGTGATCTCAATTCCAGCTAGGCCTAGGCGCTATCCCTAGTGACAGGGGACTTGGGCCGAGGAGGAGTACGGGGCGCCATTTTTTATTGTTCTTGTCCAGGTATTTTGGTACCGGACGCGGCGCACCCGCCATACGACTGCCGCGCCGCGGGCGCCGTTGCCGGACGGCCGTGTTGATGCTGACCCCAGCCGCGGCCGCTGCACGAACGTACGACGTCCCGTGTGCTGTGTGCTGCTAGTGCTACTGCTATCTCGCTCACTCCTCGATCGATCGACCAAGCCGGCGCGTGATCGATGCGTCAACGTACGGACTCCATGGATCTGTGTGATATTATGGCTTGTTTTATTAGTTCATTAATTAAGCTCGGCCATGTTTTTTTTTCCTAGGTTAGGCTGCGTTTAGATCTAAAGTTTAGATCCAAACTTCAGTCCTTTTTCATCATATCAACGTGTCATACACACGTAACTTTTTAGTCACATCATCTCTAATTTTAACGAAAATCCAAACTTTACGCTGAAACACAGTCTTAATCGGTCGATAGATCGGTTGCACTTGTACGGTATTGTAGGTTGGCCATTTGCCAATTTGTCATCCGTAGTACCACGACGCAGTAGTAGCGGTAGTGCAGTACAGCGCTCTCGCGGGCCGGCTAGCTCGCTCGATCGATGCTGCATTTATCGTCGGCGTACCGATGTTCTCGTTAACTCTCCGATCCAGCCCTAGGCCAGAATGTGCGTGGCTAGCTAGATGAGAGTTGGCAACCAATCTGACAGCTTGTTATTAACTGACTACACGTACGATAATTGTTTGTTTACAGGTGTTTCTTTGATGATGGGCGTATGCATGCTTTAAATACTCCATCATTCAGCAAATAAGGCAGGCATGCGCGCGCAATACACGGTACACCACACGCATACAACGTACTTCCTCCGTCCATTAATATAAGGGATTTTGAGTTTTTCTTGCAACGTTTGACCACTCGTTTTATTCAAATTTTTTTGAAATTATTATTTATTTTATTTGTGACTTACTTTATTATCTATAGTACTTTAAGCACAACTTTTCATTTTTTATATTTGCAAAAAAAATTGAATAAGACGAGTGGTCAAGCGTTGCAAGCAAAAACTGAAAATCCCTTATATTGTGGGACGGAGGGAGTACTAAATTGAATGTGCATTCTCAACGCATACGCATTTTTTTCTTATAAGTACTACTCCCTCCGTTTCAGGTTATAAAACGTTTTGACTTTGGTTAAAGTCAAACTAATTCAAGTTTAACTAAGTTTATAGATAAATATAGTAATATTTATAATATCAAATTAGTTTCATTAAATCAATACTTGAATATATTTTCATAATAAATTTATCTTGGGCTGAAAATATTGTTATTTTTTCTACAAACTTGAAGCAGCTTGACTTTGACCAAAGTCAAAACGTCTTATAACTTGAAATGGAAGTAGTATCATAAGCACCGAGTACCGTATAACTTCAAAACAAGCATTTGAGATATAGGACTTGTAAATTTTGGTCACCTGAAAATACCCTAGATTTCAATCAATTTTTTGGACAGTTATGGTTCTATCGACTTTTGTACGTGGACAGTAGTATCTTCCTTACTTATCATGTTATCCTTCTCCCTGAGAGTAAGTTAGACAGATTGAGATCTGCGATATTGCTCTCCTCCCCACCTTTGTGCGGTGAGCCTCATTTGGTTGACTGTCCTTCTCTCCCTCCCCATCTCCTCCTCCCCAAGCCAAGCGGTGACGCCATTTCCTTGTCGTGTCATCTTCTAACTCCGGTGACTCGCACCACAGAAACACCACTGCCACCACCGTCTCCTAACCTATAGCTTCCCTTGCACCTCCCCTTTCCCTAGCTCACATCCCCGCCAACCACCAACCTTCATCCTTGCAGCTCTGGTGGCACCCCGACTACACCATTGCATACCGCCGTCGCTCATGGTCATCTCTCTAGGCCCGGGAAAACCCTTTTCTTCCCCCTCCCCGGGTAAGCCATCCCACTTCAACATTTATTCCGAAACCCTAAATTTTAACTTCGTTGCCACGCACTACACTGTCAAAGAAGAAGAGGACTTCAACATCGTCAGAGAAGATGAGCCTGTTGATGATGCCGCCACTGCTAGAAATCGCCGTCGCACATCATCCCTCTGTAATTCCAAGGTGCTAGGCTGAAGGTGATTAGAAATCTAGCAATAATTTTGCCATTGACTTTTTAAAGATATGTTTGATCATTCCTCTTATTTTTTAAAAAAAATGTAATTATCATTTATTTTATTGTGACTTGCTTTATCATTAAAAGTTATTTAAGCATGACTTATATTTTTTAAATCTATACAGAAATTTTGAATAAGTCAAATGATTAAACACATGCCTAAAAGTCATCGACATCATATATTAAAAAATGAAGATAGTATATATTGCTTAACACACTTGTGGATGTGTTTTTTAAGTACTATCATAACTCATATGCACCATATAATTTTAAAAATAAGCTTTTGAGAAATTATACGTTCAACTTCTCAAGAGTCTGACCGAACCTTATTCTAAAACATCAAATGACCTTATGAAATATTTGTGAATGAAGGGGGGGGGGGTAAGAAACTATCGATCGTGTTGTTTCAAGTGTCAACATCCTTGGTGAATCTCCTCAGAAATCCTGGTGTAACAAGTGAAACGCGTGACATTGCTTATTGTGACTTCGCTCGGAGGATTGAATGAGGAATCGTGGTAAACCAGGTGGAATATTTCCTATCGCGCGTGGTTAGGAAATCATGTATGCATCTGCATGCATATGGGCTTATCCGGCCAAACGTGTAACCACATACACATCCAAATCA